GCCACCACAGCCACCACCACAGCCACCACAGCCACCACAGCCACCACAGCCACCACCGCAGCCACCGCAGCCACCACAGCCACCACCGCAGCCACCACAACCACAGCAACCCATGGTGTCAGTAGAGAGGACTCAGGTGAATGAGGAGGGAGGACTCAGAGAGGTTAGGGAGGGCTGATGCCTCCATCTGCTGGGGGAGGCCCTTATGTACCTGCTCCATCAAGCCAGGGCCCAGAATATGCAGCCAGTTCCTTATTTTTGTTTTGATCTCATGAGTGCTCTTACATCTTCCTTGTTGACAGGCTGACCACTTAATATTTGCAAAATTTGGCCTTCAGTTGTCTCTTGGATCTATGTTTAGATTAGGATCTACTTCCAAGAAATTTGTGTTCATGAAAACTTAGATGTGTACATGTTCTTTTTGTTCCAGGACTTAGAAAAGTACCTGTTGCACTGCAAGTATTCAATAGGGATCTGTTGAATTAGAAAGCGGTAATAGTAACATAGATAAATAAATAAAAATTAAAAAAAATAAAAGCACAAAAGTTTGTGTGCAAAAAAGCAGCCAGATATTTAAGAATAATCTTTTTTTTTTCATAACCATGGGAGTCTGAATCCAGAGCCAGTTAGAAGTTCTGTGTTTGCATTTACACTTCTTAGTCATCGCAGCTTACTCAAGATTGTTTTTCTCCCTGTTGGAATTCATCACATGCCCTTCAATAAGAAAAAAACTCTTGAAAGAAATAGTAAAAAGCCAGAATCAAGGGAATAGAATAGACACTTGAAATGTATCATATCACACATTAGAGCTCATTTTAAGACACGGATATTCTTGGGCCAGCCGGTGGTGTGGTGATTAAGGCGACTGCATCCCACAGGGCTGACAGCACAGTTCAGGTCCTGGAACTGGCAGCTTCAAAAACATGCTGGGCGTGTGTACATGAGTGCCTAAAATCCAGAGAGGAGAATGAAGGAGAAGGGACTATGGTGTGGCCATCCCCCGGGGTATGATTTCTCACTTTCCCTTTCTCTATCTCTCTCTAATGAGCACATGCACCTTATACCAAAAACTTAAATATAAATATATATGTGTATATGTGTATATGTGTGTGTGTGTGTGTGTTTGTGTGCGTGCATATATATATGTGCATATGTGTATATATATTGCTATATGTAAAATATATCAATATATAAATGTATATACATATATAAATATGTGTGTATATGTACATATATACATACATATACATAATCTTATGTGTGTATATATAATCTTACATGATATATATATGTTATATATATATTCGCATATATATGTATGAATATATATATATATATACATATATATATATATATATATAAAATCTTTCTAGCTCCTGGGATTCTTGATTGGCCAGAAAAATTGGTTAGTCATTGACAATTACCAATAAAATATGTGTGATGTCAAATGCTAAAAGTACAGTTATGTGGGGTCCAGTCCTAAGTGATCTGCCAGGGGTGGTCTGTGCTTGCTGCTTGTCTGCTAAGTAACTGGAAACACGAAAGTCAGAAAGGTGTCATCTGCAGTGGGTCTTCTCTCATGCCTCTCTCACAATGGAGACCCGCGTCCAGGAACCACTTTTGCCCAAACGTGCACTGGGCAAGTTTGTTTGGAATGATCCATTGCAGTCTGCTCCACCTGCCAGGCCCCCCTGTCCTGCCCCAGGTAACCTGTGGGTGTGATTACCATTCCATACGGTTCTGCTGTTTCTTGATTGCCTTCAGAATGGAAGGCCTGCCTGGCTAATATCGTCCCTCTTGGGACTTACTCTGCAGGTGCTGGATCAGAGAGGACATGGCTTCCAAGTGTACCCTACATTCTCCCAGGGTCTTGTAACCTTGGCTTGACAACTGGCAGCTCCATTATGCACTTACTGTTTGACAGTAGGAGAAAGAAGCCTCGCAATACCCTCTCTTAACTTCTCGCCACCCAGAGGCTGTAACGGTTCCTCTTGCTCTCCGTCTCAGCTGCCCAGCACCCTGGAGTTTGCCTCATGCCAGGGATGCTCATGGAACACCTACGGCAGCCATGTCTGAAAGACAGATATCATTTCTGGGCCCTGAAAATGCTTCTTCCTACACGCTGGCAACCCTTTGTGGACTAACGCATGTCTACAATGCAAATTACAGATTACCGTTCACCACAGAGACTCAAAGGCTCTCAAAGGGCATGACTGAGCTAAAATTAGCTACATTATCAGGTCAAAGGTACACAAGAAGGAAGTAAATAAAGGTCTCGTGAGATTCTTCCATAAAGTTTGGGCTAAAAATGGAGAAGGGATCAGTATAAAAGGACCTCCTCAAGCAGAAGGAGGCATCAAACTTCCCTCACCTCTCTGAGTCCTCCTCCTCACTTCACCTGAGTCCTCTCTACTGACACCATGGGTTGCTGTGGTTGTGGTGGCTGCGGTGGTCGCTGTGGTGGCTGCGGTGGTGGCTGTGGTGGCTGTGGTGGCGGCTGTGGAGGCTGCGGAGGCTGTGGTGGTGGCTGCGGAGGCTGCGGAGGCTGTGGGTGGGGCCCCCCCTCCCTCGGCGGGGGGCGG